CGGCCGCGGCCCGCGCCCCGGCCCCGGAGGCCCAGCCGTGGGTACGATGCTGCCCAGCTCCATCCAGATTTCGGGGGAGCCGCTGTCCGGCGCCGAGGTGCGGGACATCTGCCGTGGCCTGCGCGACAACACCGTGCGCCTGCTCTCACTGCGCGGCTGCCGACTCTGCGACCGCGACTTCGGCCGCATCTGCCGGGCCCTGGCCGGGGCCACGTCCCTGGCGCAGCTCAACCTTAACCTAGGCGTCGTGTCCAGTCCCGGCCGCATCAAGCAGCTGGCGGAGGCGCTGCGGACCAACCGCTCCATCCAGTCCCTCTTGTGAGTGCGCTCCTTGGCAAGGGGGTCCCGGGCACTGCAGCCCTCTTCACGCGCCCGCCGCCACCGCCTGTTCCCCCGCACACCTTCCTGCAGCTGTCTCCGCACCAGCCTGTCTTCTCCCCTCTGGACACCGCCCCCTCCCTCTACCCATGCCTCCATGACACCCTTACCTCTGGACTTTGCACAAACGGCCCCACCCCAAATGAGATGGGGTACCCACCCCTTTCTGGCAGGGCACCTGTACCTCCCCACCTAATCACCGCCACTGACTTCTTGGGGGCAGCTCCCCCGGTCTCAAGCAGGAACTCCCCTGGGGACTAGACCCCTGCCCCTGCATTCTGCCCACTGAAGAGTCCCCAGTCCACCACCCACACACCCGTTCTCTTTGCTCTGTCCCGGATCCCAATCCCTGCCCCAGAAAAGAAACCAAATTCCCCTTCTACCTGTGTTTTTGGAATCTAGAATTTTCTTTCTCCCTTCCCAAGGCTTCTCCCTTCCCAAGGCTTCTCCCAAGTGCTGTGACAAGTGCCCTTCTCACCTCTAGGGCTCACATAAGGGAAGGGGCTGCATCCCCTACAGGTAGGGCTGATGACTGCAGTAACCTCTGCTCTCCCGTCTCACCCGCCAGCCTGCATGGGAGCCCCCTGACAGATGCGGGGCTGGCCTTGCTGAACCCGGCGCTGGCCCTCCACCCTGCCCTTGTGGCTCTGGACCTGGGGGACTGCATGCTGGGTGATGAAGCCATCAATCTCATCTGTGGCCTCCTCCCCCCAGATGGAGCCAAGTCAGGTGAGCAAGAGGCCCTGCTGAGGACACGGGCTGGTGTGGCCTTGATAAAAAGCCAGGTGCACAGGGCAGGGGGTGTGACCCAGAGCTGAGGGCTCTGACTGCGGGTGAGAATGTTTATCAGAAGGGCTGGGGGCCGAGCAGAATGGAGACTCAGGCATCCAGCCTGCGGTGGGCAGGGGAAGGCAGGGGTCTCTCAGGGCCCGGGAGCTCTGTGGCGGGGCGGGGTGGCTCTCAGCCACCAGGGACACCCCAGAGATCCAGGGCAGGGGAGGGGCTTGAAGGGGCCTGACCTCCACCCTGGCTTGTCACTTTGATGCCGCCCAGGCTTGAAGGAGCTGACGCTGAGTGCCAACCCTGGCATCACCCCTAAGGGCTGGAGCCGCCTCGCGATTGCGGTGGCCCACAGCTCCCAGGTCCGCGTCCTCAACCTGGACTACAACCCCCTGGGTGAGACTCAAGGAAGCCCCCTGCGAGCCTCACCATCCCACCCCCATCCAAGAACTTGGGACCATTGTTTGCCATGGTAACCCCCCTCCCACTGGGGGCGGGAGAAGGGAGGGGGGATGTGGGAGGGAGTGGAGAAGCCACTTGTGTGGAGGACCAGACGAGCACCAGGTACCTGAAAGTATCCGTCACCACCCCTGGGCTTGGCTTGCTTCACCCATTCCCTCCCCAGTCACGGTGCCCCCCTTCTCGGCCACCTACCAAGTGTCAGCGTTTGCTGGCCCGAGGGTGGCATCTCGGGTCCTTAGGGCATGGGGGAGGCCGCGGGGAGGAAGGGTGAGCAGGCCGGCTCACGACTGCCCGTGACCGTGTGCACGTGTGCCGCCTGCCCAGGTGACCACGTGGCAGGGATGCTGGCTGTAGCTGTGGCCTCCAGCCGCACCTTAGAGGTCCTAGACTTGGAGGGCACGGGCCTTACCAACCAGTCAGCTCAGGTGAGGCGTCTTTGTGCTGGCGGGCGGGCGGAAGGGGGCTAGAGGTGGGGGTGCAGGTGAGCCCACGTGTCTGTGGACATGTCGACGGGCTGGCAGGTTGCAACCTTAACTGTGTTCGTCCTTTTGCGCCTTCTTCCCCACGTCAGACCCTGCTGGACATGGTAGAAAATTACCCCACGGCCTTGCGGAGCCTCGTGCTGGCTGAGAACAGCATTAGCCCAGAGCTGCAGCAACAGATCTGTGATCTGCTCTCCGAGGGAGAGGAGGAGGAGGAGTTGGCGGGAGGGGCCGGCGACACGCAGGAACCCGAGAGAGGGCGGGGGCCTGCTGCCCAGCCGTCCTGGATGTGCCCCGGTGGTAAGAGCCCCCGGGTCCGAGCAGAGCCAGGTCCGGAAGAGGCTTGGGACCAGGGAGGGTGCGTGTGCGAACCCCAGGCCGCCTCCCACCTGTGTCCCTGGTGGAGGAATGAATGGTGGTCTGAACGGCCCTCTGCCCTTCCACAGAATCCAGCTCTCAGATGGTGCTCATGACTTCAGGACTAGGCGACAGTCTGTTGGCCGAGACCGAGATGTGACTCTCCACTTGGGCCTCTGCACATCATGACGTGTTGGCTCTGTCCCCAGCACCTTGCCCGGGATATCAGGGTCAGGCCCTGGGGGCCTGGGAGGGAGGTGGGGGTGCCGGGCGCTCTGGTAGCTCCCGGCAGTGATGGGAAGCTCTGGAAGCTGACTAAGCAACAGCCTTGGGCGCACTCGAACCCAAGGCAACGTCTCTGGACTTGTCAGCAGCTCTGGCTGCAACCCGCTGGCTCGGAACAGATTTTCTGAACAACCTGGCGTGTGGCTGTGGTCCCTGGGGGTGGGCAGCAGGGGAGGAACTGGAACCATTAGACGCTAGGGGGCAGTGCCACCCTACAGCCCAAGCTCCAGGCAGTATCCACCGGGCCCCAAACGTCAAACGGGTCTGGCTCAGGTCTCTGATTCGTAGGACCTGGCATTCTGGGGTGACACCTTACATAGGCCCCCAGAAGGATCATAACTAAGGTAGAGAGCTCACCTCCAGAGGTCAGACTGGACCCCGCCTCGAGGAGAGACTCGGGGGCCCTGCCGAGGTTACTTGAGGTACACCTTCTCCCACTGCCTGATGCTCTGTGGCCCCAGACACCCCAAGCAGGGCGCGGCGGGGAGGACTCACGAGCGAAGACCAGAACTTGGCTAGGACTAGGAATGCTCAAGAACGGGGAGGAGAGCGGCACAAGGAAAATCATTAATAGACAAATTAGGCCGTATCAGTAAAATAATTTTAATTTTAAAATAGTCATCGATGTGAAAACTTCCCAAAGCTGGGAGTAACAGTCTAGAGCCAAGGTTGGGAGGGGGCCAGGCCTCACCTAGAGCCCAGCTTGAGGCCCCTGAATCCCTCCCTCTCCTCCCTTCCAGAGGGAGGATGGACACAGCGGAGGCGAGCCCTGAGTGAGTCCTCTCGCCCATCCCCCAAGGGCCCCTTGAAGGCAACAGCTCGCGCAGAGGACTTGAGGGGAGGAAGGCAGGCGGAAAACAGAAATTAGAGGTTAATAATCCCAACGACGCCCCCCTCCCACCCCCAGAAAACAAACAAGAAAACAATTTGGGGGTATGAAAGGGAGATGGAGGATGAACACTGATGTAACAGACCCCTCAGCGCCCCAGAACAGCCCAATTTGGGCTGACCGGAAGAAGGGTCTTGAGCCCCAGCTGCAGGTTGCCTTTGGGGAGTACATATTCCAAGAAAAAAGGGAAAAACTACGAGGCAAGCTGGTGCCAGTCATAGTCAATGCAGCTAAAAGGCCCGGTGTGGCCAGCCCTGCCCCTGCCCCACACAAGGAGCAGAGCCGAGCCGGCCTGAGGCAGGAGGGCTCCGGGGGGCGGGGGGGCCTCCCGCGGTCCCAGGGCAGCGGTGGCAGGAAGGCAAGCGGGGGCCCTAGTTGAGCAGGTTGCCCTGCTCCTGGGCCTGGGTCAGGCTGTCCTTGCGGTGCAGGTGGTGCACCCCCATCCTCTTGGGGCTGCGCTGGGGGCGGCTGGAGCTGGGGAGTGCCCAGGCCCTGCCCTCGGCGTGGGAAGCGACAGGCCCCTCCTCTGTGCCATTATCACCGGGCAGCAGACTCCGGCGTTCTTCCTCAGGGCTGACGGGCAGGTTCAGCTCTTCCTCCTCCTCCCTGGGAGGGCCACAGTCAGCTTCCGTGGGCAGCAAAAGCCCACTCTCACCAGGTGGGGAAGAAGGTGCCAGAACCTCCTCATCTCTGTCAGTGGGGCTCAGAGCAAAATGGCGCTGCAGGTCAGGGAGTGCATCGCGTCCAAAGGCTGTGCGCTGGGTCACAGCGGCCGGGGGCGGGGTGCGGTCCACAAAGGCCCGCTGCCAGCTGGCGAGCAGGTCCTCCTCCGAGCCGGCAGAGCTGGCTGGGGCGCTGCGTGCCGGGGGGAGAGGGGGGAGAGGGCTGGGCTCGTGGCGGGGCGAGGCCTGGGCCGAGGCGGGGCTGCTGGGCACTGGGCTGGGGCGGGCCCGCTCCCCGCCCTCCTCCACCAGGCTCAAGGAAATGGCCTGGCGGGTAGCGTAAGTGCAGTTGGGCAGGGGGCTGTTGCGGGGGATTCGCACCTTATCCTCAGAGAACTCTATTACCTTGCGGCCGGGATACAGCGCGTGTGGTGGGGATGGGGTGGGGTAGGGGCTCAGCTTCTCGAAGGCTGGCAGGGGCACCTCCTCCTCTGGGGAGGCCCCAGCAGTGCCCAGAGAGCGGCATTCTCCATTGGGTTGCGGCGGGGGGCTGCCAGGGGCCGGGGGACTGGCTGGGTCACCCGGGCCACCCCCACTCATGTCCACGTGCACAAAGACATCCTCAGCCAAGGGGCGCCCGGCACTGCCCGACTGCGCCGAATTGAGCAGCAGAGACTCCGGCTTCTCTAACACTCGGGCAATGACCGACGTGGGCACCACGGCCCCCGGGGCCAGGCTAGGGGCGGGGCCCGGGCCGGCAGCTTCTTGACCACTGTGCAGGTGTTTCCGGACCATGTCCTGGAGCTCACAGGGCAGCTGGGGCAAAAGAGCGGGAGAAGGGAAGAGAGACATGAAGGCTCCCAGCCTCAGAGCAGAAACAATGGCCCCCGCCCCCGCCCGGGCAGCACCACGCGGGTCTCCCACCAGGCCGGGGGACAGCCTCATTTCACAGAGCCTCTGACGCTCGGCAGGGGCGAACCGACTTGAAGAGTCTGAGCAACATACCCAGCATCGGGTCCCAGAGCCCTAAGGGCCACGCGCTCTCAAACGCCCCCTCCCCCCACCTCAGCTGCGGCTTCGGCCCAAACCAGACGGAAGTCTGAGGGCGGGTACGGCCAGCGGCCTCGGGCCAGCCTCCGCTCCTTCCACACACCCCATCAGCCTCGGGCCCAGAGTTTGCCTCCTGGGGGAAGGCGGTCAGTTGGGCCTAATCCCCTCTCGATAGGCTTACAGCTGATGGCCACCCCCACCTTCCGGCACGGGACCCCGAAATGGGGCGCCTCCCTGTCTCTGTTCCAGAAATACCGCCCTAGCGATGGCCCCGACAGCGCACGCACACCGACCAGCGGCAGAGCTGACTGACTTGAGAGGAGACGCGCAGGCGAGGGGAAGGCAAAGCAGAAAGGGGGAGTGGAGGCAGGACAGAGTGAGGTATCAAACCCCGAGCGAGAGGAGTCCTAAGGGGGCGGGGCTCGCGCCAGCGGGGACGGGAGACGCCGTTGGGCTCACATCGGCGAGCTTGTGGCTGCGGAAGTGGGACTTGTTGCACTTGAGGAGCTGCACAGCCAGGTTGCAGTCCAGCCGGTACCGCTCCTGCAGACACAGGCGGGGGTCACTGGGCAGCCGCGCTCCAGGCAGCGGGGCTGCGCCGGGGCCGAGGCAGCCGCAGGCGGGAGGGGCCCCGTGGCGCACGTACGTTGAGTTCCTCCAGCTTGTTGATGGTGTTCTTGGCGTCCAGCAGCTTATTGGTCAGCTCCACGATCTCCCAGTCCAGCGTCTTCCTATCCATCTCAGCCTTCTTGATCTGAGGCACAAAACTCATGTGAACCTCGCCCCTGCCCCCGCCGGCCTTTCTCCCCTTCGCCTCCTCCCAGCCCAGAGACACAGGAAGCCACAGGTGCTGGGGCAGCCAAGGCGGATGGAATAGACAGACGATGGACAGACAGAAGGAGACCAGCCACCTCTCCTGTTCTCCGGGCTGGCTGTGGGGTGGGGGCTTTCTGAACAAGACCTGCTGCCACCGGGGCCCCGGACAGAGGCCATACGAGAGCCGTCCATCAAGGGGCTCTACACAGCAGGTCAGGCAGCTGGAACTGAGAAGGAGTAAGTGTGCAAACCCAGGGGCCAAAGCCTACGCGTGGAGCGCTTTCCAGGCTCAGGCTAGGAAGAGGGAGGAGGGATGGGGCTGGGTGGCAGCTGGGGGCGCCTGTGAGATTATCTAGTTGAGCCAGGAGGGAGCAGCGTGCTCAGCAGCAGCCCTCTGATCTTCAGTTCAGGGACTGGCGCCCCTTCACCCCGCTCCCCGCCCCCGCCCCCGGCCAAATGGCTTGGGCTTGTTGCCACCACAGCCGAGCAGCCGTGAGTGTTCAGTGGTGACATCAACCAGAACCTCTGCCCGAGCCAAGAGCCGGCTCCGCAGCTGTCCCCCAGGAGGGAGGCACTGTACCGAGCGGGCCTCACGTAAGGAGGAGGAAAGCAGGGGGCAGAGGCAAAGGGCCGGGGCCCCAGCAACCCCAGATCTCAGCTGAGGAGGAGGCCAGGGCAAGGGAGAAAACACACAAACTCAGACGCAACTGCAAAGATCCAGCTGTGGCTAAGAGAGGCCTGCCAGGAGAGGGCGGCGGCGGCGGCGGCAGCGTGAGGGGAAGACGGGAGAGAAGAGAAACAGTGTGAGCACTAAGACAGTCCCGACTCGCACAGTGACTCGCACAGCACACACTGCGGTCCCCTGCCCGCCACTGTCCCGCCCCCTTCCCAAGCCCCAGGGCACAGTGGCACTCCCCAGGCAAGTCCCAGCCCCCTGCTATGCTGTGAGCACAGTGCCAGCCTAAGTGCCCCCATGCCCCGCCCCATGCCCCGCCCC